GATGTGTGGCACATAAGAGCTTTTGAATACAGATTAAAGCGGCAAATGTCCTGCTGCTTCTCTCTCTCTCTCGCTCTCTCACACACATACTCACTGTCTTTTTGGCTGTCTCTGCAGATTAACCGCATAAATCAGTAAATCAAATGCAGCAGTTTAACAATAATGCAAGCATTATGTAGGTCCCTCCCCCCCTCCCTCCCACCAGGCCACCACTGAGCAGCCCGCGGGTGCCTTTGCCCAACGGCACACTAAATGTCCAGGCATATAAATGACATGCAGATTCACTTTACTTAGTTGCCTGGGCCACTGCAGCGTTTGCAAAGCTTTTGAGTTACTAATTAGATTCAGATAGGCACCTACCACCCTCTCCCCCCTCACCACAGCCATACACAGCAGCCTGGCACGCCCATCAACAACCTGGTCGGGCAACGGAACGCCCGCAGCGGCATCCCTTGCTCAAGTCTAATTTAATTTACTATGCAATTCTGTTGCTGTTGTTGCTGTTGCTTTTGTTGTCGTTGCAAAATTAATTTTCTCATGATTTAGTTGGCATTTGTGGTTTTGATTTTGCGGTTGAGTGGCCTTTAAAGGACTTTAGCCACGTAAATGGACATCAAAAAAACGTTAATTAGCGCAAAATATTACGCATACGTAATGTGCGCCCGACAATTTGATGTTGCCGGAGTATGGTTAAGCTAACCCCTGATAACTGCGCACATGCAATGCCAACATATAGGCATATGTAGGCCATGTCAATTTATATGTTATATATATATATATATATATCCAACTGCTACGTGTAATTTAATGTGTACCCAATTAGAGTTCAGCCTTCGCTTGGTTTATGCGTTGAGATTTTATGAATAGAGCTGAGAACGTGCAATTATGTAAAAGTTATTGTGAACAACTGAGAAATCTTATTATACAAAATGTCATTATATAAAATAACGCCGAGCACTTTTATGAATTCTGTTTAAAACTTTGAGAAACAAATAGTTCATAATTTCTTGCAGAATTTCTAAACTTATTATTGCATTCTGTCTCTTGCTTCTGCAAACTCTTTACATATCTTTATAAATGGACTATTTATGATGGCTGCCAGCTTGTTAGCTGTCTTTTTACTTTACCAACTTTATTGGCATAACTGGAAAAAATTAGGAAAATTGCCAAATACTTCAGCAAATGATCCGCTTTTGACTGACTCATAGCCTGTTTATTCAATAAGATGTCTGAACGTCGGACTAGCATGCGGCTAGTCGCCGGTTCAAATGCTGCACTGACGCATGGGTGACTTTCATATTTGCGAACTACACAAACAATTTAGGAACTACAGTGCAGCTTTGTATTTGCCGAACTACACAAACAATGTTGGAACTACAGTGAAAACCCCTTTTCGGCGAACAGCAAACGCCGGTTATAATTAAACAGAAGAGGAATGATTATAGCCTAACTCTTAATGGTTTGAGATAGTTGTGTCGGCCTAATTGGATTGCACAGCTTTACTGTACTTGCATATTCAGTATTATTAGTTTTGTCGCGTGCAACGCAGGGTTATTTTCCCCATGTCTATTAAACATTGTTAAGCCTTGGCACATATTTGCTGCTCAATCCCAGAACTTGTTTTGTGATCGCCACGCTGCATAAACCTTTGGCTAGCATGTCAATATTGCTCCAACCGCCAAGTACCCCCAGCCAGTTACCCACGACCCATCGACCGCCCCCCCTCCCTCTGTTCCAACCCTCTTTGCCCATAGGAGCGGTCGCATGTAGCTTACTGTGGCTCCCCGTTTAGCTTGCGGTCAGTTGGTCGACGGTCAGCAAACAAGCGTGAAATTGCACAGCAATCGTGTTGGACTGGAAAAAAGGTGGAAAAAAAAGAGTGACAGGGTGAGAGAGAGAGAGAGGGAACAAGGGTAGGGAAAGCGAGGGAATCGCAGTAAAAGCGGCACAAAAGGCAATCAAACTTGCGGCCTATGAATGCGAAGTCCTTTAACAAGCTGCATACGCTGCATTTTATTTGCATGCGCCATTTTGGCCACATGCAAAGCAAAATCATTTGCCACTCTCTCTCTCTCTCTCACTCTCACTCTAACTCTCTCTCTGTCTCCTTCGAGAACAGCAATTAATGCGCTATTGATGATGTTTGATTAGAAAATTCTTTTAAATGCGAACATTGTACATTTATCTCGGACTGTAGCAGCTGCAGGCGATTGTGTTATTCAAATTAAATGCATACATGCGCTAATGAATCAATTATCCTTATTACTTGGCCATGTACAAACATACACATAAACACACACACACACATACACACACGTGCTCACAATGTTAAATATGCATATGCAGCCCACACACATGCGGGCGGGTTGCGCCCTTCAATGCGCCACAACGTTTGGTTTAATTAAAACCGAACCGATTCGATACGATTCGTTGGCCAAGTCCGCAGCACGTTTTAAATTTAGCGCTGAGCCAAAAGAATTTTCGCAATCCTGGTCAGCCCGAGTAGAAGAGCAGAGAGAGAGTGGGGGGCAGTTCATTAAAGGGTGTAAAGTTGAAAAATTTATTTGCCCCATGCGCCAAGCGTGTCGCTCAATGTTATTGAGCCTGAATGTCGATTGATGGCGACTGCCCGGCTCGATGCGGCAATGCTGTAAATTTTGCAACGCCAGTGAACTGCACTTTCAAGGCTCGCCCAAAGATTTGCGCCCATAAACTGAGTATACAGTGTACATATATACGCTTGGGGAATACGTGTGTACTCTGCTGATAGGTAGACGTGTAATAGCTGGATTGAAAGCCAAACTTAAGTGAAACTGTTCAATTTAGTTGAGATACTTTTACTTATAGCGCCTGTACATAACATTTTGTTAATAAAATTTAACAACAGTTTTGATCCTCACTCAGGCAGCTTTTCAAATATTGTTGATTTTCGAAGCAAATTCAAGACAACATAGTTATTTTAAAGCTAGAGTATGTTAATGAAAGCGATTTCATGTAACATTTCGCCTATAACAATTACAAGGCGTTGTTAAAATACTTAGTTGTAATGCTGGTGAAGTAAAATTTAAAGTGAAAATATTTATTTTAAAGCAAGGGGATTGCAATAAATGCCACTTTATATAGAATTTCGTTAATAAAATTAGATATGTGCTATTAAAATTGGTTTATTGTTGCTAATATTAAAGAAACAGCATGTTAGCTTTTCTTAAGGCGACTTTACATAACATTTGTTTAATAACATAAGTATAACAACAATGCCGGCGGAAACTGTGAATTTAAAAGGCTTTAGTGTTTTACATAACATGCCTGAAATAACATTAACATTAACATTAACTTACGACGCGCTGTTAATACTTATGTTATTTAGATAACATTAATCAAAATCCCTATCAATAATTGTTCCCTTTGCTGTCTTAAATGTAAGTTAACTTATAAGCGCTTAATGCATGGTAATTTACTTGACGCTTATCGCTTATTATTAAATATTGTTTTGGATATATCGCTATGATGCATCTTACGCAGCTTATTGTACTATAAATAAATTATTGTCGCATAAATAATATACAACGGATTGCAAATATATATAAATTCACAATCAATAAAATGCAATCAAACAATTCGCTTGGTTATCCAATTGAATTTTATTTCAATTGAGAAAATCTCAATCTACCCCCGGCATTCCATAAAATACCTGCTCTATCGTGTGCTGTCAATCAGCTTTCAATTATTGCAGCTAATTTGGCTGCCCTTTAAGCTCACGCTATATATATATAATGGTATTTGCCATACCCTCCAAATTGATATATATATGGCATGGCATCCCTATTGCTGCAAATGACACGATGCCGTTCTGGAGTTTATTTCGCTGCCATCGCATGCACTTTTTGTACCATTTTTTGCGCGATGTTACAGAAATCGGTGCAAGCAGCGAGCGCAAAAAACACAATAAAAATGCCAGGATAAACGACAAAAAAAAAGACCAAGATGGGGCTGAAAAATGGAGTAAAAATGAGGCGCATAAAATGCAAGCGGCGGCATTTTGCAGCTTTGCGCTGCTATGCGGCGTGAAAATGCATGGGAAAACCGAACCGAAACCGAACACACAAGAGAAACAAAAAGAAAGAAACACGAAATAGCAGTGTGACATAGCGTGTAAGTGTTGGTAAACGCGGTGCGAAATGGCTCGACGCTCTTTGTCTTTACGTCGTTCTTGTTGTTGTTGTTATTGTAAATGTACGAATGTTATGTAGGTCAGCCAAGCAACGAAATGATGCCGTGGCTGTAATACCCTGTTATTAGAAGTAAGTGTTGCATAACGCTTAAATATAAGCAGTGGCTTGAGGCAAAATGTAAGCTAGTAATCAGTATAATAAGTTAGGCGTGTCTTCAAACGAGTTTGCAAATATTTGCTGCACTCAAAATTACTTTGTGAGGTTATGCAGCAAATGCGTGGTATATCGTTGTTCAACACTGTCGCCAATTTCGTTTTGACTGGCAATTGTGGTTGCTGTTGGCTGCAGTTGCTGTTGTTTAACAAGTTCGAGTGCAGCGCATTTGTAAAATTTAAGAACCATCTAAACTTTGGCATGTGTGCACCACAAATACAAAGGGAGAAACAGAGAGCGAGAAGGGAAGTTAAAGAGCGAGATAGAGCGAGAGGGAGAGAATGAAAGAACTTTTTGAGGCTGTCGCTGACACCAAAACACAAAAACAACAGCAAAAAGTTTGTTTAACAATGTGAAAAGAAGCTGAGAAATGGTTAGGAACGGAAAATGGCCGGGAACACGTTTAGGCATGGGCGAGGGGTAACTGCAGGATGTCGGGTGTAGAGCATGTTGGGTGGCAAATATATTTGACATTTGCATACGAAAAGTGTCAAAAGGGGAACACACACGCACACACACACACACACACACATATATGTGGCCGCAACTTCCGTAACGCTCTTATCTTAGTTTATTGTCTGTTACTCATACATTTTCTCTCTCCTTACGTTTTAGGAGCGCTACAAGGCCGACATTAGTCTTGCCATACAATTGCTGCAATGCAAACCGGACAGCTTTGTGCCCCAGAAGGTGTCGTCGGTAAGTATTGTTCCTCCCGGCTGCAGTTGCTATTTTTACCCAAAGTTTTGAGCAAATTTTTCTTTGAAACTTGAATATCTTTTAGCTGCCAATTGACATACAGTCCAAGGTGTCTGCCTATATGCGTCTGGAGACCAATTCGCATTCGGATTCCGAGTGTAGCAATAGTGGTGTAGGCGTGGCAACCACAGCTTCCTATAAAGTGCTTCCGGTCTCGGACTCACCACCGCCAGCGCCATGCCCCTTTCCGCCCACCGCAATGGTGTACTCAATGCGGGGCCTTGGTAAGTGTTAGTAGACCATTTTGATTTTATTATTTCTTAAACTCTGAAACTCTTCATTTAACTTTATTTCCTTTTCTCTCTTTATATATATATATATATATATATTTATTTTCTGCTTAGTAAATTGAATTTGATTTCTCTCCATTTATTTCTCTGGCAACATTTCCTCATCGGGCACACATTGGAGGAAATTTTTAAATTTGTTTACTCAATCATCATTTACAACATTTTTCACATGCCCAACGTACACACATTACATTTGTTTATTATTTCTATTAAGTTGCTAATACCCTGTACATACTGAAAACATAAAACAAGGAAGCGCATATTGATTTTGTGCAAGTGTATGTAAAAGGCAGAAGAAAGCTTTTATATCCAACACAAACCTAATTCCTCAAAGTTGGACTTCTTTTCAAATCATCGATAACCTGTTCCGTTGCCACAATATCGATAAAAATCGATTTGTGCCTTCTGTCTCATGGTCGTAGCTCGTTTAATAGCTCTATTTCTAAGAGCTAGAGACCTCAAACTTGGTATCTAGGCTCTAATGCAGTACAAAGCTATCAAGCATGTTGAATATTGGATTCCTACTTCGGTCCGGCAAATATTAAAGAAAAACAAAAGTATTTTTTATGGTATGGTCTTCGACTTTGGTATATGCCATTTTTAAGCCTGAAAGTTTTATAAATAGTTATACAAGAACGTATTCTCCATGGGGAAAAGCTAAGGAAAGGAAAAGAATATGCGACATTTATATGTATAGTGTGTGTGTGTGTGTGTTTTCGTATGCATATTTATATATATATATGTATAATTATATTATAATATATAATATGTATATTTATAGAAGGAATATTTATGCCTGTACCTCGATGCTGGATACAGGGTATATCCTAGTCGGGCACGCTCGACTGCCGCACTTTCATTTGTTTTCAAACATTTTTTCTTGTAAATACTTGATTGGCGTTCTGTGTAAACTGTTCACTTTAATTGTTTATTATTTCATTTAAGTATATTGACATAGTTTTAATTACAGCTCAAATTTATTGTAAATAATTTGTGCAATTTGTGCGTTCGTTTTGATTTGCATTGGTTGTGTTTTTTATAAAATGTGTTTAACAATGTTCATCATTCATATTTATTCATTAGTTTTGGCAATATTTTTGGCTATGAATTTGGGCTACAAATAATTGAAATGCTCAAGAATTGAATGCATTTTTGGGGCTAAATATGCAGCTAATAAATTAAATAGTGAGCAGGAATTGAAAATCGTTTGCAATTTAAATTTCTAAACAAAAATATATAGATGGAATTTTAATGTGAATGGGACTGAAGTTATGCAAATAAATATAAATAGAAACAGGAATAGGAATTGCAATAGAAAAATGAGTATGAATAAGGAATGAAATGTAATTAGGAATAAAAAATAGGGAGCGGATTTAATTAGTGATGAGAAGAGGAATGAAAAATATAAGAATTCAAATAGGAGAATGTGAAAGAGGAATAGGAATGGAAATAAGGAAATATTAATAGGGAATGGATGGAATTAGTTATAAATGAAATATAAAAGCAAAAGCAAAGATCATTTAGAAAAACGAATAGTAATTATTTTTGAGCATAGTTAGATAATGTGTTAGATGCAGAGGCCATTAGTCAACATTTTCATGGAAGTCAAAATATTCCCAAAATCTCATAACATAAACGAAACACACATTTGGCCAAGAACGTGCATTCATTTGATTGTTTTTCTTCTGGCTCGTAAACAGACGCCGCCAATGGCAACTCAGCGAATGCACAAACAGCGCCAGCGAACAACAACAACAACAATAACAACAACAGCAACAACAGCAACAATAGCAACAGCAGAGGCAGTAGCACAAAGGATACAATTAACAATAACAATGTTAGCAACAACAACAACAAGCACAGCTGCAGCCAAACGCTCAACGGTCAACCCAAGACCAACAACAACAACAACAACAACAATGCAGATCCCGACATGATTTCACCCACAGTTATGGCCAAATTTCTGGAGGATGAACTGAAACTGAATGACGTGAAGCACTGCGATACGTGCCAGTGCAGCAAACAGGATCTGACCGTGCTGGCGGACATCGCACGTTCCTATTCGGTGGCCACCCAGACGCCCCACTCGCTGGCAACCGCTGGCGCCAGCACGCTGAACGAACCGTTGACCCAGCTGTGCCTGCGTTGCCACAGCAATCTGAACTCGCCGTCGCGCACCAATAGTCCCTATCTGATGAAACTGGTCAAGTCGAGTGATTCGGTCATTTCGGAGACGAAGAGCTCCGTTTCGGATCTGAATGACATGGACAAGCTGTTCACGCTGCCCAAAAAGGATGATCTGATGGTTAATCCCATACTGGGCCATCACAGGCTGTGTGAGCGGACGGCTCTGCCGGCCAGCGCCAACACGCTCGTGTATCCGACCACGCTGCTGGGCACCTATACGGGCGCCGAGAAGTATCTGCTGGAGACGAGCAATCTGGGCCAGCTGCGTCAGGGCACGGGCACTGCGTATCAGCGTCGATTCTTGGACGGCGGCGGCACGGCGTTGCAGCTGCTCAACAAATACGAGGCAACGGCAACGACTGCTGCTGCTGCTACCGCAGCAGCCGAGGAGTTGGAGGATGAGGTCAGTAAGCCGCTGCTGGCGGGCATATCACAGCCCAATCTGCTGGAGGCGGAGCAGCCGCCAGTTGTGCAGCTAACCAAGCCGGAGGATGTGTGCGAACCGCAGCCCGCCAAGCCAACAGCTGTCGTTGGAGCCGGAGTCGGAGTCGGAGCCGGAGTTGGGGTCGCGGCTGTTCCTGTCAGCTGCCCGCTCAAGTCCAATAACTCGGGCAGCGTGCAGAGCCTGTGGAGCAACAAGACGAGCAGTTGCGAGGGCGCCAAAATGTTTGAGACCTTCAATAGAAATCTCATCAAGACTATCAAGGTGGGCTAGACGAGTGCTCCCATACATATATCTGAACAGTGAATACTCTCTGGGGCGAACAGTGGCCGTTGATTAATATACGCTTAATCGAAGGGGCAGGCTTATGGCCAAATTCATAATGGTTTCAGTGAAAAGCTTCGCCTAAGAGGGATCTTTCTCGAATAGGAGCGTCCGCTAGGAGGGTTTTCAACCCGCCCAACAGACTGACACTTTTGATTGATATGATCATTAAAGATTTACTGACTGAAGTTTCGGCTTCAAACTCACTTTCCAAGATTTTAGTCACACTTGTTGGTCGAGGGGTTTCTGGGTGAAATTGGAAGTTTCGTGCAGTTAGCTTCAAAGTTATTTTCTGAGTTTTCTAGACGCCAGGTGTTTTAGCGATTTTGGAATTTTCACCCGTACCAGTGATGTCAATTTTTGTGGAATTGGCAACGTATCTCAGGATAGAAATAGGAAATTTCCAGCTTTTGGTTTTACATTATGTGCGGAAAACGTTGTTTCCAAATGCTGAATATGAAATCTTCAACTTAAATCGATAACTTAGGACGTGGAGCTTAAGATAGTACAAGTTGATCTAAATTTCTAACGGATGGAGAATTTAACTTTAAATTTTTACGGACGCGAAATAAATGGAAAAGAGACTAAGCAAAGTCGGAAAAATATTAGCTATTGTAAGTCGTTTAAGATATTACGGAGATAAGATATAATGGACGGAAAATTGACCGGACAAGGCCGGAAAATACCAGATAGGACATCATATCATCATCATCATGATCATCATCATTTTATAGATTACCTAGAGTATTTATAAACATACTACTCCCATTTTATTCAGGCGGAGAATCCGAAATATCGAGGGCCACGTCTGTGTGCCATGCGCATACAGCAGAATGGCCAGAGCAACATACTGCTGGACAATTTGGAGTCGATAGAGACGCATGTGCCGGTCATCTACAAGCGGCGCGAACGACTGCTGGACGAGGAGCTGAACGATGGCAAGGACATTATAACGTCCAAGGAGAGCAATGCGTCGGCTGCGGTTGAGGTGTGGCAGGCCTCGGCCATGCCGCACGAGAATGTGGCACTGCAGCCGGTGCTGGAGCCGCAGGTGGAGCTAAAAGAGACTGAAAAGAGCGCCCAGTTGGACAGCAGCAATATGCCCACGGCAGTTCCGTCGGTGGCGGCAGGAACAACGGAGGTGGTCGCTGGATCAGGTGTTCCAACTGGTCCAAGTGTAATAACTGCAGCGGCTGCTGTTGCTGCTGCTGCTGCTGTGTGCTCACCCAAGCACTCGGCCAACTCGAGCTCGCTGAGCGATGCCATTGACTATCAGGAGAGCGTGCTGCTGCGTCGCCAGCAGCTGAATCGTGTGGCCGAGTGGGTGCAGCACAATACACAGCAGCTGGAGCAGCGGGCGCTGCAGCAGCCCGCGCTGGCCACGGACTCCAATTCGGGCACGGAACGGCAATCATCCTACTCGACGCTGGATCGCATGGACTCCATATCCATAGAAAAGCTAAGCATGGACTCGGGCTATAAGACAACGCCACAGCAGCTGACCAATGGTTATGCGGATGCGGGCAAATCCACGGAGGATTCCCTCTCGCCCAAGACAGACATCACCAGCAATTCGCTGCCCGAGGCAGTCATGTCCAACAGCCAGCCAGGCGCTGCGTCTGCCGCTGTGGTGACCAAAAAGGCAGAGCTCTGCACCACCTATTACAGGCGCACAACGCGTTCCGGCCTGCCCGTGGCATATACCACAACCACGACGACCATGACGGCAGTAGCAGCAGCAACAGCAGCTGATTCGCAGGGCTGCTCCTCGGCCGGGTCGCCGTCGCTGCTGTGCCCCGAACAGCCCACGTGTGATATACTCAACTATAAATACTATCCCAATGATACGGACAAGACGCGCTCCGTTCAGGCCGAGCTGCACACGACCACACAGCACGTGGACATCGCCCAGATGGAGTACAATGTAAAGCAGTTTCTGCTCAAGCAAAACGAATGGTCCATGCGCGCCGAGGCAGCTGCGCCAGGTGCTGCCGGCGCTTCGGCGCCACGTCTGCTGCGGCATACGCGTCTCCTGGGACCCGGCGTGGGTGAGCGGGTGCGCATGGCCACGCCTGGTGGCGCTGTGGCAGCCACGCCCAGTGTCCTGGCGCCGCACAGAACTGAAACGAATTTATAAGCGTGGGGAGCAGGCGTCACACGAGCGAAGCATCAACCAAATTGTATTCTAGTTTAGCGCCAGATACCAACCAGGAGCAATGCTTACAAGCAAGTTTAAGTTAATAAGTACCATGTGCTAGTTAATGTACGATATATATATACATGAATTTATATATATATACCTATGTGTAATACTTGAAACTACGTCTAGGCTGATTGAAGCCAGAGTTGCGCTTATAATGCAGCTAAGTATATGGGCATCATGGCGTTGGAATATTAAATACATAACTAAGTTCATACACTCAGAGAAAAACATTTAGTATTCAATAGTTAAATTAAGCAGAAACGTTGATAAACTGCGTTCAAGTTCAGAATTTTGTAAGCTAACATGGAATTTCTTTTTCACTAAATTTTTGTAATTGGTAAATTTTATACTTAATTCAAGCTTTGTTAAGCCCTTGTAGAGGGTATTATAATTTAGTCACAAAATATGTTACGCACAGAAAAAGACATCTTTGATTCCATATTACCATATATCCATATATCATTTATATATTCTTGAGCAGCATCAACAGGCGAGTTGATGTTGCCAGGTTCGTCTGTTTGTCTTCTTCTGCAAACTATCTTCTCAGTTTTAAGCTATCCTAGTTCCGTTTTCCGTATCATATCGATCGAAATGAAGTTTTTGCATGAAAAACTGCTTTACATGATATTTTCAACTTGTCAAACTTGCACCCTTAATTTGAATTTTGGGACTGCTTTATCATATAGCCCTTATAGGAAGAATCTTAAGAAAATTTTGGAAAACTAGTTCATAATTTCTTGACCAAACTTAGCAATTACGAGCTTCACTCTTCTACGAACATATTTCCAAAGCCGTAACAAATCGAATGAGTTTAGTTATTCTTTATAGGAACAATCGGATTGGCGTAAAGCCTTCACATAAAAGCGCTTCCAAGCCACAAAGTCTACTATAGTATTTGAACGTTATCTTTTATTTGTATAGTAATGTTTTTTATGTTTACATTATAAATTATTTAAGCTTCAAGATTTGCACCTAAACATAGAAGCTTTTTCTCTGAGTGTAGCATTTCATACAACCTTCTCTAGTCTTCCTTCTGCTGTATAAACTGTACAAACTAAACTTTAGAGCTTGCTTTCGACATTTATTAAAAATTTCAGGTCTTAGCCCCAAGCGTTTGTCTTCCTTTCTCGACTTTCTCTCATCTCTCACGTCCAACGCCACGCTGTTCCGGCCCATATATAAATATATATATATATAAATTAAAAAGCATATGATTATTCCATATGATATTCAAATTTTCGCATTACCTTTTGGTGTCTGCATGTTAATCAATCCATTTAATATACAACTCTCTATATATATATATATATCTGCCTAGGCTATAACGATATTATGCTAAATCGATTGATATGTATTTGATAAGCGCCATTATATTTTCTAGATTCCAATTGTGCAATATTTGTTATTAGCGAGAAACCAAGAAAAACCAAGAAACAAAAAAAGACGTATAGAAATGAATTTTTATTTTTATAAAATGCGACCAAAAGAAAAAAAAAAACCGAGGCATACGAAAATCTATTCGAGAGTTCTATCTATTAAGTTCGTAATATTTGAAATCTAAAATCCGCCAAGAACCTGCCTAATGTTTAAGCTTCTACGATATAGCAGCCGCTCTATAATTAACCTATATACAAGTGTACTGTACCTTCTTAGTAAAAATTTGCAGCAACTGTACTCATTCCTGCCCATTAGATGACCTTCATAACACACAGCCTATATACTCTCGATCTACACACGATCTATATATATATATATGTATAGTGGAAAAACTGAATGTAATCCTGAGCTAACTAGCAATTCATCATATATATATATATATATATATATAAACGTATCTGAACAGACATATGAAACACACACACATACATATATTTACACATGCATACCGCATCGAAAGCATACACACACACGTACACACTCGTATATCCGACCCACAACAAACTACTTTGAAAGGCTTCAAATTATCTACCGAAACATTTTCTATATACACGCATAATCCCTCCCATATTTAAAAATCAAAATTAAATGCCTATTTACTCGTCTATTTACAAGCATAATACATACATACATAACATACAAATACATGCATATAACTCCATATATACCTACATATATATATATATATATATGACTTTAACATGTATACACTGAGCGAAATGCTATATGAAAAATGCTTTAATACTGTTATGTTTGGCCTATTTCTAAACGTTTAATTAGACACAATTCTCTCATATAAAACAAAAAAACTATTACTAATAAACAGCTTCGAACTGACTAGTTGAACAAATTATGCCACATAGTTTTGTTCAGTGTAACTTAAGCTTATGCTACATTTAACTCTTAACCAATGCAGCTAAGTTTGTCAATCAAAAACAAAGACTTGCAACATGTTCTTCAAAAGGAAAATAAGCAAACAGTACACAATCAAAACAAACATATTCAGAACCCACAAACAAATCATTAACTACTCGTAAAAACACACAACTAACACACAAACTACTCAATTCTACTCTTTGCTATCCTCGACTTGTACTCATTCAACTCGCTGCTCAAAAGAAAGGAAAAAAGATGAAATATAATAAAACCCAGTCGCATATTTCGTAGTTCCACGTTAAAGGAAAAAAATAGGAAGCACAACTCGGCGTGCTTTTTGGTTAGCAATAGAACACTGCCCCGCACCCGTCTCACCCCCCCCCCCCCCCCTTCTTCCCGCATCTGCCAGTTTACAATCACCTCATTAAGCTACGCATTTAAATTTAAGTAGAATTATTTCAACAAATTTTCGAGCTCAAAGAACTTTATAAGGGCAGCCTACGACGTGTAACATTACGATTATTAGCAACAACAACAACAACAAAAAACCAAATATATATATTTAAATGAAATGGAATTTCAACAAAAGCAAAAGCAAAAAGCAAAAGAAAAACAACTTAGCATAAATATTTGGACATAAGTTTATCCTCGCCCCGCATATATCCAAACTGAAGTACTTAGTTTTAAGCGGTTTTTTGCTGATTTTTATTAGACAACTCCTCAACTCCCCCCCCTCAGCCCCCTTTAGCCTTATATATGAGTGTACATTTTTGCGCCTAGTTTGATATAACAATTTTTGAGCTATCGAACCACCTTAATGTGTAACAACAACTAAACAAACCGAAACAAATTAAATAAATATGAGATAATTTTTGAAAAAAAAAATTGGGTTTATTTATATTATATTTTCTCTTGCTAATGTTTTACACAGAAACTAATTTATTAGGGTTTGATAAAGGATAAAAAATGTGTAAATATTTTTTATATATATTTGGTTTTTTGTTAATTTATTGCATTATTTGTGTTTCAAGTAAAATCCATTTAACAAGCGCGTTTACCTACATCCTTCAAAGGTCGGTAATTGAGAGTCCTTTGTAATAAATTTCGTCGAACTCATTTAGATCACATTAGAGCGCTGTTCAAACCCGCAGCTGCTTAGGTACAAAGTGTTTCTGAGTTCTCGGCATTTTCGGAGAAACTTTCCAAATCCCTGTACAATTTTCAGAATCTATATTTGCTATCTAACGCAGCAGGCTATATTACATTTCTAAATTATCTATGTAGTAAAATTTTATTGCATATTACATTACATTACATTACACATTATTATTATTTTGAGTGAATGCAAAACAAAGGACGGGCTGTACAAGTGTCTGCTTAAAAGCGGGGGAATTGATGTGGTCCGATTTGTATTGGTCTCCCAATTGGTTCCGTTCGGAAACTTCTATGGGTGTGGGCAATTCTGGCTTATGTCTATATATAATATTTTGGTGTACCATTTTAACATGAATTTTGACCAACAATCATGTTGTCAGATATAGATTGATCTAGAGGCCAAAACATAAGCAACGAACCTAACTTCATAAAAATGCGCTGAGTTCTGAGCGAGTTATAAGAAGGGGAAATTTAGACCCATGTTCATGTCTATGTCCGATTTTAGGAGGTCACATTTTGACATGAATTTCAACCAAAAATTGTGTTCCCAGATTTAAATGCCAAATTAAAGTTGGGGCAAAACCATGAAGAAAAATCCAAATCTCGTTAAAATCGGTTGAATTTTGGCTGAGTTATGGAAGGGGGAAATCTCGACCCACGTCGATATCCATTTTTAGGGGTCCACATTTTGACATGAATTTCGACAAGAAAATGGGTTGCCAGATTTAAATGCCAAATTAAAGTTGGGGCAAAACCATGAAGAAAAATCCAAATCTCGTTAAAATCGGTTGAATTTTGGTCGAGTTATGACAATGGGAAATTTCGACCCACGTCGATATCCATTTTTAGGGGTCCACATTTTGACATGAATTTCGACCAAAAAATGGGTTGCCAGATTTAAATGCCAAGTTGGGGCAAAACCATGAAGAAAAATCCAAATCTTGTTAAAATCGGTTGAATTTTGGCCGAGTTATGACATTGGGAAATTTCGACCCACGTCGATATCCATTTTTAGGGGTCCACATTTTGACATGAATTTCGACCAAAAATTGTGTTGCCAGATTTGAATGCCAAATTCAAGTAGGGGCAAAACCATGAAGAAAAATCCAAATCTCGTTAAAATCGGTTGAATTTTGGCTGAGTTATGGAAGGGGGAAATTTCACCCACGTCGATATCCATTTTTAGGGGGTTACATTTTGACATAAATTTCGACCCAAAAATTATGTTGCCAGATTTGAATGCCAAATTCAAGTAGGGGCAAAACCATGAAGAAAAATCCAAATCTCGTTAAAATCGCTTGAATTTTGGCCGAGTTATGACATTGGGAAATTTGGACCCACGTCGATATCCATTTTTTGGGGTCCACATTTTGACATGAATTTCGACCAAAAAATTGTGTTGCCAGATTTAAATGCCAAATTAAAGTTGGGGCAAAACCATGAAGAAAAATCCAAATCTCGCTAAAATCTGTTGAATTTTGGCCGAGTTATGACATTGGGAAATTTCGACCCACGTCGATATCCATTTTTAGGGGTCCACATTTTGACATGAATTTCGACCAAAAAATGGGTTGCCAGATTTAAATGCCAAATTAAAGTTGGGGCAAAACCATGAAGAAAAATCCAAATCTCGTTAAAATCGGTTGAATTTTGGCCGAGTTATGACATTGGGAAATTTCGACCCACGTCGATATCCGATTTTAGGGGTCCACATTTTGACATGAATTTCGACCAAAAATTGTGTTGCCAGATTTGAATGCCAAATTCAAGTAGGGGCAAAACCATGAAGAAAAATCCAAATCTCGTTAAAATCGCTTGAATTTTGGCCGAGTTATGACATTGGGAAATTTCGACCCACGTCGATATCCGATTTTAGGGGTCCACATTTTGACATGAATTTCGACCAAAAAATGGGTTGCCAGATTTAAATGCCAAATTAAAGTTGGGGCAAAACCATGAAGAAAAATCCAAATCTCGTTAAATTCGGTTGAATTTTGGCTGAGTTATGGAAGGAGGAAATTTCACCCACGTCGATATCCATTTTTAGGGGGTTACATTTTGACATGAATTTCGACCAAAAAATTGTGTTGCCAGATTTAAATGCCAAATTAAAGTTGGGGCAAAACCATGAAGAAAAATCCAAATCTCGTTAAAATCGGTTGAATTTTGGCCGAGTTATGACATTGGGAAATTTCGACCCACGTCGATATCCGATTATAGGGGTCCACATTTTGACATGAATTTCGACCAAAAAATGGTTTGCCAGATTTAAATGCCAAATTAAAGTTGGGGCAAAACCATGTAGAAAAATCCAAATCTCGTTAAAATCGGTTGAATTTTGGCTGAGTTATGGAGGGGGGAAATTTCGACCCACGTCGAAATCCGATTTTAGGGGTCCACATTTTGACATGAATTTCGACCAAAAATTGTGTTGCCAGATTTAAATGCCAAATTAAAGTTGGGGCAAAACCATGAAGAAAAATCCAAATCTCGTTAAAATCGGTTGAATTTTGGCCGAGTTATGACATTGGGAAATTTCGACCCACGTCGATATCCATTTTTAGGGGTCCACATTTTGACATGAATTTCGACCAAAAATTGTGTTGCCAGATTTGAATGCCAAATTCAAGTAGGGGCAAAACCATAAAGAAAAATCCAAATCTCGTTAAAATCGGTTGAATTTTGGCTGAGTTATGGAAGGGGGAAATTTCACCCACGTCGATATCCATTTTTAGGGGGTTACATTTTGACATGAATTTCGACCAAAAAATTGTGTTGCCAGATTTAAATGCCAAATTAAAGTTGGGGCAAAACCATGAAGAAAAATCCAAATCTCGTTAAAATCGGTTGAATTTTGGCCGAGTTATGACATTGGGAAATTTCACCCACGTCGATATCCATTTTTAGGGGGTCACATTTTGACATGAATTTCGACCAAAAATTGTGTTGCCAGATTTAAATGCCAAATTAAGGTAGGGGCAAAACAATGAAAAAAAAATCTATATCTCGTGAAAATCGGATGAGATTTCACCAATTTATGGGGGTGGGAAATTTTAACCCATATATATATATATAGAAATTCGACCAGGAATAATGTTGAAATCCCTAGAAAATGGGGGGAAAGGAATAAATAAGAACAGAAACCCCAAAAGAGCAGTAAATTTAATGATATTTATTTAATGTATTTTGTGTTTTGTTTTTATTAAAAATAAATTCCTGCGAAAATGAAATAAATAATTTGTTGCATGCACTTAAACAACTATGGAAAGTATTTCGCTTTTGCTTTTCTCTCAAACTCTGCCGAACCTTCTTCTTCTCTCTGCTGTGTGTTTGTGTGTCGAAAAATGGCGATAAAATGGCTTCAGTCAATGCGACTTCTCTGCGTCTGCCTTTTGTGGCAGATGGAGATGCAAAAATTGTGTGTGTGAGGGTGTGTGTGAGTGTGCGGGTGTGTCTGTGTGGATTTAGAGAGCAACTGCATCAGCGGGCTGCTGTTCCGGCTGCTGCTCAACAGAATTGTTGCTGGTGGCTGCCACATCGGCGGAGGCATCATCATTGACCACAATCACCTCGTTGGCGGGCACCGCCTCCTCGAAGGAGTCGTCGATGGCCTCGCCGCTGTTGCGCACCTCGTTCTCCGATTCGGCTGGCTGCTCGGCCACATCGTCGGCCTGCTCCAGCTTGTCATCGACGCCGGGCTGCTTAATGGGCGCCTCGGTGACAGCTGCGGCCACAGCCGAAGATGCTGCAGCTGGTGCATTCTGTGGCCGATTGCCGCCCAGGAAATTGATGATGCCCTGCAGCGGTCCGCCGCCCTGTTGTCCCTGAGCTGGTGCCGCAGCAGACGCTGTTGCATTGTTGCCGCCGCCAAACACATTGTTCACAAATGACTGAATGGGCCCGGGCGGACGTGCTGTGGTCGGCTGTGCGCTCTGCTGGCCCGTCAGCCCGGAGAGCGTGTTCTGGAACTGGGTGCCCAGATTGCTGGCAAACTGCTGTATGCCCTGAAAGGCCTGCGTGGTGCTGTTCACCACAGTTTGTGCCGCATTCTGCACCGCATTCTGAGCGGAGGTTATGGCCGCACCGGGATTCAAGAAACCGGGCACTGTCGGCGCTGGCGTCGCTGTCTGATCCGCCTGCACCTGCTGCGCTGACTGTTGCTGCTGTCCGTTGAACTGGTTGAGGAACTGGCCAATGGGTGAGTTCTGTATCAGTTGCTGCACAAAGTTCTGCTGCGTTGAGCTCTGCTGCGTGGGCGTCGCCTGCGTGGCCTGGCGCACATGCGGCTGCACTGCATCCTGTTCCACGGCCTGCTGCTCGGCGGGCACAGCGTCTGCCACGGGCGCGACCTGCTCAGCGCTTGCCTCAACAATTGCCTCGGCGGGCAGGGACTTCAATATGGGCTGTGCAGGCTCCGCCTCCGACTCCGACTGCGACGGCGACTCCTTGGCAAGTAGGGGCAGCTCAGTCTTTAGCTCAGGCTCCGGCTTCGACTCCAGCTCCAGCTGGGATTCCAGCTTTGGCTTCGACTCCAGCTCCGGCTTCGACTCCAGCTCCGGCTTCGATTCCAGCTCCGGCTTAGCTTCCTCAGCTTTGGCTAGCTCAGGCTGCTGCTGCTCTGGCAGCTGGGTCTTGGTCTCCGCCTCCCTTTCTGTCTGCGTCTCCGACACGATCTGCGCCTGTGTCTGCGTCTCCGTCTTGATGGGCTGCTCCTGCTCCGCGCTGATCAGAGGCAGGGCCTGCGGCTCTGGCTCTTTGATGATGGCAACGGGTATGTCGAGCGCCTCCTTTGACGGCTGCAGCACACGGCCCTGGCTGCCCAGAGCCAGGCAGAGTAGCACCAAGGCAATTGGCTTCATTTTAGGTTTGATTATGTTTTTCTGCTTTCGGCTCGCGACAAACGATTTACACAAACTGCTGAGCTCTACGCCTCACGGCCACAACTGTTTGAAATTTCTTTAGCCTCGGCGCATTTATACACTCGGCTCGCAGACACTCGACGCCGGCAGCTGCGTCGACTGCGGCAGCGACTGCGTGGCGAGGCAGCAAGAAGACGGCGCGCTCTGTCTTGGCCAATTCTTCTGGCAAATGTCATTGAACTGAACTGCAGCAGGCGAGGCTGAACACGGCAGTTGCAATCGTTGGGCCCTTCTGGATAATTGGCCAATTCTAAGGAGTCTTGTGCTTGTTGTCCACGGGCGCGCGTGGTGGAGGAGGCGGCGGAGGGGGAGTGGTTGCACACTTGTCTGGCTTGAACATATTCTAGCCGCATGTTCTGTGCACATTAAACTGATCAAGGTTAAGCTTCTTTTATTATTCCTTTTTCTAGCAGAGAGTGCAGCGAGCTGAAGTTAATTAATAGATCGATTGGACTTTGCCATGACTTTCTGAGGCAGCCAGAGCCGCAATGTGGCTAAAATTAGAGATCATTAATTTGATATGCACAGTGGGAATTAAATTATAGCCCAGGCAGACGGGCTAGTGTAGGGTGTTCGTGTAGCTGATGTCTAGGATTTTTTTTCAAATTTAGTTAAATACTTAATAAATATTGGCATAAATATTGCTATTATTTTTATTAATATTATTGAGATTATTAATATTTTTGCTTTTTATTTTGGAGATTCCAAGCCAACTTCTATTTGTTCAGAGAGATTTTTCTATATATAAAACTAAATAATTTGTGATCAAGTCGAAACGTAGCTGTAAAGCTAAAGTCTTCAGTCTTTGCTAGTTTTAATGGGTTTTACTTGATTTTACTTAAATCGAATATAAATGCATGTATAGGGTATTTGTTGTGCGGCACGCCAAAGCTAAGGGTCTTCTTCTTCTTCTTGTGCTGTGCATTAACGATTTACGAGAGTTGCCGACATTGTCGCTGCTTTGTTCTGGGCTGGACGAAGCTGCATTTTGCCCCACTATGCAACTGGTTTTAATGCTTTTTATCGATCCAACGAACGACACGAGATCTGAACATATTTTCCAGCCCCAAGCACCGCCCGCCTTCACACTCGCGGGTTTTTCACTCTCATTCCTTCTGTGGCCAGCCGCAGTCGCAGCAGTCGCAGCAGCAGCAGCAGCAGCAGAAGAAGAAGAAGCTGTGGCAGACATCTTACAAGAAAGTCTTTGAGATGGTCTTTTGGGCTCTTTGATTGCGTCGAAGAAACAAGTTTTTGTGTCTTTGTGGCCAAAGAAACCAGCTCGAAGTGCGGCTATTTTTAGAGCCAATTAGTTTTGGATGCGGCGACTGTAGATGGACATTTCTGATTGGGATTCTGATTGGGATTCGGTTGCAGCTTGTAAATCAGGCCCTGCATTAGCCCAGCCACGTTTTCACCCAATTTCTTTTATATTTCTCGACTCGAATTCAATTTGGTTTTCTAAATGCGACACAGAATGCAACTTAGTAAATGCCACGCCTACTCATAAATTATGCAAACGAGCGGCATTAGAAAATGTAGTTAAATGGGTCAAAGCAAGGGGGGGGGAGGGGGGCGGCAGGTGCTTGCCCGCCCAGTAAATGAAAATGAAAATAAGTTTCGACTGTGTCTGCGGCTATTTTCCGGCCAGGAAAAGCTCAGCTGAACTTGACCAAATTGCAGTCCATCACAATTGGCCACGGCAACTGGACGCAATTGGCCAGCCCGAGCTGGAACCCGTTTCGCTGTGGCCCTTTAAAGCCAACAGGTCGGGCGGGCCGCAGCCGGAGGAGCTGAAGAGCTGAGGAGCTGGCGAGCTGTTTGCCTGCAAAAGGACATTGACTTTGGCTTTTGGCATCGACTTTGATTTTTTATAGAGTTGTTGTTGTTGTTGTTGCTGCTGGTTTGTTGGTTTGTTGGTTCGTCTCTTAATTGATTTCCGCGACAAGCAGAACAAGTTCGACACTCAAGTGTTTTATGTTGTATTTGTTGTCTTTTATTTTTTTTTCATTTTTTATTTGTCTTTTTATTTGCAATAGTCATCAAGTTTGGTTTTATGTTTGCTTTCGGCTTTGGCTTTATTAAGCACCACTGCAAATGGCCAAAAACTGAAAAAAAACACATAGGGTATAATGTTTTTGTGCTTTCGTTTGTAACACAAAGCAGGGGCGCTTCACTTTTTCACAGAAGAGAGTTTTAAGATGGATGCGACTGGTGCAGAAGTTGATCGATAACTCGCACGAAATCGATAAAAATCGATTGAGATCTGCTGTTTCTTTGCCATCTCTGATTGCGCTAGAAACAGCAAATTTGGTGTGAGAGCATGTGGAGATCAAGAAAATGATGCTAGTGCACGAATTAATCGGTAATTCGAAACATATCGATAAATATCGCTTAGCTATCGATATTCGAATGATTTTAGGGCTGTAGCATATCTCAGAGCATGCACAGAACGAGAATAGTTACATTTTTGCCCACAGTTTCCCATAGTTACATTTTCACGCATGCTTTGAAGCCCTGAAAATATCATAAAAATCTGAGCATTATCAACGGAGTTATCCAAGAACGGAATGCCTGCAAAGACTTAAGCTAGATTCTCATTAGAAAGCCAACTCGAAGCTGAGTTCAGGGTAACTACAAGTCGTTCACTTCCCATTAGATCACTTTTACTCGCTTTTAATTGTTGTCAGGCTCGTGGATCAGCTCCAAATATCGTTCAATATCGTCGATTATGCAATAACAATTTTGTTATCACACAACTTGCGGACCCACAATTCAATTTTCAGACATCGTCTGGACGTATTAGCATAAAAAAAAGGTGTTGGGTGGGATGAAAAAATAAAAAAACGAGTAAAGTCAGGTGAAATAATTGGCAACTGAAATTAACACCTCGCTCACATACTTTTTACGCCCAAAGACACACGCATCAGCATGTGGGCGTGGCCCGTGAGCAAACGGTGGCAACTTTCACTTGACAATCGTGCGATATTCGAATTATAAACAATAAACCCAGCAACAACAACAACAGCAACAAAAGCACACACAAATAAATGGGCAATGTCGAGAAGGCGTCAACAGATCTCGTCACAAAATTTGGCTTGGAATTTTGTTGTTGTCGCAATATTTGTGCCATATTTCTGTTGTTTTTCTCAAGGTCAGATATGCGCGCAAAAAGAAATATAAATAAACACAGCCAAAATTGAGTACAATTTGCTTAGATTGTTTTTGTGAACGATGTCAAAATGTGTCGCAAAATGAGTTTCGGCAAATTTTGAGAATATGGGTATTACACAGGCAATTACCAAAGCTGCCGCTATTAGGTGAAAATTTTTTTAAGAAACACTAAAAAAGTGTCAATTGTTATGCTTATGTTTAACTTTACAATAATAATTTTTGAAACAACCGCAAAAATGCGAAATTCAAATTTAACTGACAGCATATGGTGGCAGCCATAGCAGTCAGCTTTGCTGCGCTAACGTCAGCCTACTGACAAAAGCTTCACAATACAAACATTTACAATAGACTCAAGCGCGCAGCTAACTTCAAGTGCGTAAATTATGCGCGCTGTAAGTGCGCTCCCTTATTTAAATTCAAGTAAGAAATGTAAAGAGTAAATTAAATGTTATAAGAATAAGAAAACTAGAATGTTACAAATATTATGGTTTTGGTATGTAAACATATAATAGCAGTGTCTTATGTTTTGCCAACCCACAGATCCATCGTGCTGTTATACTCAAAATGGAATGTAAAGGGGCATGCCGACTGCTGTTTAATTGCATCCAGCATAAAACAGCTAGGACCGACGTAACAGCAAATTAATATCACAGAATATTACGACATCCCAATGATGAAAAAACGTGAGAACATAAAAAAAGGTAATACCCCTATAGTTACACAATTGTTTTCAAAAATAAATGTGCTTAATTGGTCACCTTACAAATATCGTAGCCGCATATCGATATTTAACAGCATGCATAACATAACATAACAGCTTACATTTACATAACATAGCATTAACATAGCAGTCACGCTGGCCAAACAACAGCCAGTTGGCACCCGTCCCGTTCTCTAGTTAGAGGCTGCAAAAACTATCGATAGGTATTCACGCCGCGCGTTCGCATTAATATTATTGTAAAATAAATAAATAAAGTGTATTAACCATGTGCAAAGTGTAAATAAATGTGTGCGTAAGACGCGTGTGCTAAAACCCAACACGTAAGCAAAGTGCGCGCAGACAACAGCGTCTCGGCAGCAACAACAAAATCTCTGGCGCTGCTTGCGCCCACACCAAGACCAGCAGCAGCAGCAGCAGCAGCAGCACAAGCAACAACAACAAAAAGACCGAATCGAGTGAGCGGAGCGCAGCAAAGCGCAGCAAGCAACTAAAGTGCCAATAATAACAATAACTAATTGGGCGCTTATAAAACAAAAATCGGCTAACAAAATGAATACTAAATGCGCTTGCTTTAAATAATCCGCACCGACAACAACAATAATAAAAGCAACAACAACAACAACAACAACTGTTGTTCATGTGCTCGCTGCCAGTAAACGTGTGCGTGTGTTTATGTTTGTGTGCGTGTGTGTGTGTGTGTGTGTTTCGTGTGCGTGCGTGTGACAGCAGCAACAACAAAAGCATTGGGCTTGCAAACAACGGGATCGGGAGCACTTGACGTCGCCGTCGCCGTCGCGGTACGCGTCGCAGTCGCCGCTGCTGTTAATTTTGTAAATGTTCAAAAATATGAAATACAAATAATCAATTAAATGCGTTTGTTGTAATCAAGCGTTGGTCCAATTGGCGTTACATGTGCTTATGTGTTTTCTTTTCGGCTTTTCTGCTTCAACGAATAAACCATTAATATGAAATAATAAAAAAAAAAGAAAAAACGTAAAAGAAATTATTATCTGCTTGCGTGTTGTTGTTTGCCTTTGTTTGCGTTTTTAGTGCGCGTCGTTGTCGTCCCGTGCATTTTGTTTCCTGTTCTCGCTCTTACACTTGCACACATATACGCACTCACACACACACACACAAAATCGCACTCGCGCGCGCTTCTTGTTGTTTATTGATGCATGTGTGTGTGTGTGTGTCGCCAACGGTTATTGTCAAGCGTTTTCGCGACAAGTTCTTATCACCGCGGCGCAACGGCAACGGCTGCGGGTTCAAGTTCGTCGCTGTCTGCGACGACAACAACAGCAACAACAACAACAACAATTGCAACAATTACAACTACTACAACAACAATAAGAAACGTGACTAATGCACTGCTCGCGTAGCCTCTCAGCTGCTGCGGATACAACAACATTCTTCAGCGCCGCAGCAGCAGCGTCTGCGTCCACGTCGGCGTCGGCGTCCTCTGCCAGCACAACACCAACAATGGCCACAACAACAACAACAACAACGACGACGACGACCAATGCTAAAGATGGTAAGTCAGGCCCCAGTTCTCAAAATTTACTTATACTTATATATAAATATATATATATATACATATATATGTATACACTGTTATATATACTGTTATATTTGGTGACCCACAAAGTAGAAAACTGCCTGCAAAACGTTGCAATTCGCGTCGTTGACTTCGCCTTAAAGTTCAAGGCGAGTGCGGCACAGTTTTGCTAACCAATGACTGCAAAACTGTGTGTTGAGCGGAATGCATTCGCCTCACATTTAACTAGCGCTCTTCTATGTGATTTTCAAGAATTTAAATGAGACTGTCGAGGTGTGAGTGAGAGCGTAAGAAATGTGAAGAGAGCAAGTGATGCAGAATGGAAGAGAACGAGAGAGTAGGTGTGATATAAAAAGTCTTAGATAGAGAGAGAGAGAAAGAGCGAGATAGAAAGACAGATTAGAGCAGAAGGAAATGAAGTCAATGAAGGATCGTGTGAAGGATTTAGAGGGAGCGATAAAGTAAATGTGAGAGAGAGAGAGAGAGAGAGAACGAGTAATATAGAGAGAAAACGAGATGTAGAGAACGAGTTAGGGATAGGGAAAGAGAGGCAGAGAGCGTGCGATTAACAAGACAGATAGAAAGAGAGTGTAATTAAAAATCCCTCGGCCCTGTATCCCAGAAATTGGCCTTGCCTCTCGCTCCCTCTATCTCTCTCTCTCCCTCTCTCTCCCCTCTCTCTCTCTTTCACCTGTTAAAATTTAAAATTGCCGACTACATTTGCTTGGGGCTCACTTTATTACCTAATATCAATTAGTCGGAAACATCTCCAACTTCTGACGTAACTTTCCTGGGGTCGAGTGTGAAATTTAATCGCCTCAAATGTTGATTAATTAAGCCCAAAAACTGAAACATTGTATTAGCTAAGAAAATATTCGCGAAAGAAGAAGCAACAAATGGCTTGAGAAAAAAATAATGTTCGAGAAGCGGCATAAAAAAAAGGCCAAACGCAATTCGCGCAAATCAAAAGCCGGCAGCACAAAAGCCAAAAAGTGGCAGAAACAAAAAAAAAAAAAAAGCATTTAAGTATTTTCGCGTGCAAAATAAGTTAAAGAAATATGCACAAAAATATGTATATTAATTGAATTGACTGTGGGCGAGCGGGGAAGGCAGAGGCGGAGCGGAGCTCTCGTTCGCTGTGCAGAAGGTCGCCAAAGTGCTCGAAAGGCTTTGATGAAGGTCAGAAACATTTCGACGTTGTCATCACCTCTTGAACCCGCTCGCATTTATTGATTTTACACGGCGGAACATTAAAAAAAAAAGTGACACAAACAAAAGAAACAACAACAAAAAACCTATATATATTTTCTACATATAATGCGTTTGTTTGCATTGTACCCTGCAGTCGAGTGGCTGCAGGGCATACGCGACTGTTTTATAGATATGTCAGGCTTTTCTTAAAAAAGCTGAATACATGATACAGTGGACACTCGTCAACAAGAACGCGTCGCTTCTCAATAAATTTTAATCTGTGAAAACTAGATTTCCATACAAGAATTTTATGAATATTATATTTTTCCTTTCAAATGCTTTTGGGCCAAATTTAATGGTGTTAAAGGAATTAAATATGCCGTAGATGAGTTCTACAATATCTCAAAAGCGGAAAGTGAACGAGTTGTTAGAGAAAAAAAGTAAAAATTTTGTGATATGCTAGCCGAAGGCTACATGCTTAAAATATTTCCAGTTTTAAAGTTTGTAGCTTAAATCTATAAATAATAATTGAATATAATATTTAGTATCTACATGACAGATAGCTTATAGAGTAATTGCAAGTCGTGTATGGCCCATGGCCGTCTTCCTACTTGTTTTATACAGTAGTTTTTTTTTTATTATTTCTATACGTTTCTCGTGCGGCCGTCAGAGCGACTTTTGTGCGGTTTTGCCGGGCGTTCGAGCGGTTTTCTGGGCCGGCTTTGGCTTTGGCGTTGGCTTATGCCAAAGGCCAAATGGAAAACCTGCTTTTTGCGCAGAAAGAAACCTCAGAAGCGGCAGAAAGGCAAATCTTGCCAATGGTCGCAGACGCGCAAAAAAAAAAACATAATCATCAAAATATAGAAATAACAATTTTTTTTTGTTAAAATCATTAATTAAAAGCACAGCACGAAAAAAGTTGCATTAAATCAAAGCTAACGGTTAATGTTAATCAATGGCCACGCTTCGTTGAGGCTAGTCTCATTTACAGTTTGAAATGCACTGCACGCTAAGCCTTTTTTTTTTGCAAGCCAATTTTGAGGTAATTATTTCATTTTTTCATTTCTTTTATCTGCTGTGATAAGCTTAAGTAAAGTCAAAAAAAGTGATTCACATAGTTAATGAAAATAAATTACATTTCGACATTTTACTCAATTTTAGCAACATTTGATTATTAAACGAATCACAATTGATTTATCTTTAATTACACAGTCTTTAATGTATATTTAACTACAAAAAATTACCATTTTTTTTTTATGTTTATCAAATAATTTTAATATTATAATTGAGCATATTAAAATGTGGCATAACTGTCATAATTTGTGCAAATTATTAAAATGGTTGTTCATTGGAATTTTAATAATAAATGTACTTTTTTTTTGTCTGTCTACCAATGCAGGCAATTGAGTTTTGGTTTGAGCTGCGAACAGATTTTTTTATGCCACATATGAGGCATATTTGTTTTGTGCAAATGTATGTGACGGGTAGAAGACAATATCTTCGTATATACTTATATTCTTGATCAACAGCAATTGCGGAGGCGATTTGGCCAGGGATGATAGAACCTACAAGAGCTAGAGGCTTGAAATACTTGAAGAACTTAATCGATAAGCCAATAATCGATAATTTGCTCCGTTGCCAAATAAACGATAAAAATCGATATCGAAATACAGCTATTTAATCAAACAGCAAATCTCTTAGTTTTTAAGAGCTGGAGTTGCCAAATTGTACATTTAGCTTCAAGAATAGCTCATTTTATAGTTATTGCCAGCCCTTGCCACACCTCTTTGAGCTGTATTTGTTGTTGGAATTTGTTGGGCATAGTTGAATGTTTTAAGCAGGTCTATGCATACTTTCTTACCTTCCGATAAGGTGCCAAATAAATTCGAAGTGCCAAAGCTTGACATACTCCGAAGTCACAGTTGTAGAGCCATTGGTTTGGGCCTAGAGTTTGGCAGTCATTGGCACCGTTTAAATACACTTTCGAGTACCTTGCTGACTTGTCTTATCTTGTTGCAACGACCCAAACGACCTTTTTGTGTTCGCATTTTTTAAGTTTTACGTTTATCACAAGTTGTGCGTTTTATCAGCCATTCACACACATATGTATATACATATATCTTGCATATATGTATGGCATATGCCAACTAGTATTGTATCTTATATGTTTTTTTTTTATCAGTTGTGATTTCGTGCTTATCAGCAAATGCAACCATTTGCCCAGGGCAAATACTACGAGCAAAATACACGTACAAAATTATTTATTCTTGTTGCCGTTTTCAATTAGTGCACAACAGCAAAAAGTCAACAATAAGTGCAACAACAACAGCAACAACAATAAAACAACACTTCATAATTCCATTTCAGAAATATCAGCAAAAAAAAAAAGAATTAAATCTCAGATAGCTGCGCACAAATATTTAATGAACATTAAATTTAAGAAAAAAAATATAAAATCAAATAAAAGCTAGAAAGAACCATTTCTGCAGCTTGCTGCACTTTGTATACCCTTACGGACATATTGCATGTTTTTTCTTGGCCCAAAGAAGAGAATATTTTTTCTTTCCGATATATGTGTCGCGGTTGTCTTTCGTGGCAAAACCAACATACCCTTTGGTAGTGTATAATAAAATGCAACAATTCCCACATGAATTTCATAAAAAATGTCATGCAATTGTAGAGCTCTCCCCCTCTCTGTCTAACGCTTAATGCAAGAATTTGCAATTATTGGCGCGAAAAAAAAACGTGTAATGAAAATTACGTTAATGTGGCATAAAAATAATGATAATACAAGCCAGACGGAGCAAATATTTCAGTATATTGCAACATATTGACTGTTTGAAGGCAGACGGAGTTCGGCTCAATTCCATTAGGAGTTTTGGGGCGGAGGGCGTGAAATCGTTTGCAGTTGAAGTGGGGGGGCGGATCGGTGTTGGGCTGGCCTGCATTTGTGATGCCACTTCACGTGCGCACAGCTCTCATTCGGCAAATGCACTTTTTTTCGTCCCGGCTGGGCATCATTTTTCATTTGCCATGCCATTTGGCTCGCAAGTGGCGGCAGTTTGTCATGTCCCGTGTCCACGCCCGGCAGGTGCCCGTCTTTGCCATTCAGCCGGAGAAGTTCTTATTTTTTTTTTTTTTGATTTGTGGCAAGGTCTGCTGCAACAATTTTGCTGAATTGCCGTATGCGACTGTTGCACTTGCGAATTGCTTTATTACAAATTCTGTCGCTCGGAGGCAGTCACAAACAGCTGCCACTTGGCAGCTGACTAAATTAAATTTCAAATCTGCTGATTGTCACTACGATTAGATTTTATTAACTCCTCTCATGCCTACTAAATTTATTTTATTAGCTTTATTTATTTAGAGTTAGTCGTAATTGCAGTTGAGAAGAATTCTAACCAAACGCAATCGTAATGCATTTCCTCTAATTTATATTTTTAATTTTAAATAATACTAATAATACTTTATTTTTTGTATCGTTTCACTTATTTTCCACTTGTGCGTGTGCAATTGTTGAAATCTCAATTTATTTTTATAAATATAACAACAAAGATTTCAAGTATATCCACACGTTATCCGTTTCTGTGTGTAGAATATATTTTTTCCTATTTTATTCGAAATCTACCTAGTTTTTCATATATATTTCCACACATATTCCGCGTCTATAAGTGGAATCTGTCGTAATGCTTATTTAAAGTGCCTTTTTTCAATTATTTTTATGCACAATCTAATGAACACATTTG